TAGTTATCAAGGTGTTACCTGTACCTGAGGGAGCATGCAGTTTTACAGGACACTAGCCGTGGTGTAAGCAGCACGAGTGATTGTCCCATCTTAGGCTGGGGAAAACCTATCAACATGCCTTTTCTCCTTCCAGCAGCACGGCCTCTTCTGAAATTCTGCGAGGGAGCTGTATCCCTGCTCCTAATGGTCTCCTCTGAGTCACAGGGACTTAGCTGTATGGGGGATTAGCTTGTGCTGATAGCTTTTTCCTGCTTGTAGTAGTTCTTCATGTTAAATATCTCACATAGATCTCTAGGGACATTTCACACATAGTTTAAAGTTTTACACATTCATTTTAATTTCTTAGAGGTTGGAAAATCAACTTTCCTTTTTCAAGATTCCAAATCACCATGTGCCCCACATTTATATCCTGAAACTTGTAAGTTCTTCCAGTTTGTCCAACTTACAGCATGTCCTCCTTATCCACAAAACAGGAGGCACCTCAGCCTTCCTCCTCCTTTCTGTTTTTATTCCATCCAGGCTGCAAGCCTACTGATTGATGCCACCATAGCAGGGTTGGTCTTGCCTCTTCAGTAACTCTGTCTCTCACATCGAGAATGGTGCTAAATCAATCCGTGTCCCTGATCCAGTCACTATCAAAAGCCCAATGTATGAGTACATGAGTCTCTGAGTGGACATCGAGATAAAAGCCATAAGATGCAAACCACTTACTCTCTCTGGTCTTTGGTTTCCTCATCCATAAAATGTAGCTAACAAACACTTCTGTCACGAGGAAATTTATAAGCAAAAATCCCAGAACAGACGATAACATAAATCATTAGAATTTCCTAGTACTGCCATTTATTACTTAAGATAAAAACTAAGAGGTGCTCAGGAAGCTGAAGCAGGAGGGTTGTTATGAGTTCAGGACCATCCTGCATAGTGAACTCAAAGCCAACCTGAACTACACAGTGAGACTTATCTCAAAAAAACAAAAAACAAAAAACAAACAAAAAAACAAAAAACAAAAAACAAAACAAACAAAAAAAAAAAAAACAAAGAAAAGAGGTAATTTTTACTTAAGAATTTAATTTCTCGGGGCAGGGGAGATAGCTTAGTAGGATAAGCACTTGCCTGGCAAGCGCAAGGGCCTGAGTTCAATCCCCAGTTCCACCCCCCCCAAAAAAAAACTTAAAAAAATAATTAAAAAAAATAATTTCTCTGTTAAGGAGTAAGGTAGGATATCAAAGTAGCTACAAAGAAAACAAGAACAAGCTAGGCATGGTGGCGCACACCTATGATACCAGCTCTCAGGGGAGCTGAGTGAGTTAAAGACCTGCCTGAACTACACATAAGACCCTGTCTCAAAAAAAAAAAAAAAAAAGCAAAACACAAACCAAGGTGGGGGAATTAAATCTCTTTGGTCTTCAACCAAGAGAGTTAAGAAATTCAAATGGTGGAGAACAGTATAGGTCAGTGATGGCAAACCACCTAGAGCTTTCATTAGTACAACCAGTTGTGGCTCGAATGGCAGAGGTTCACCACCGCTAGGATAAATAGGTTAAATTAGTGGAAAGGAAGAGGAACTTTCTTGTAGCCATGTTCTACATAGTGAAGAACTTCCTACAAAACACTACTAGAATCCCTAGCAAAAGAGAATACAATATAGCAAAAGTAAAATGGGAGAAGACATATTTGGTAAATTATTAAAAATAGCAAAAATTCTTTTGTAAGAAATTCTGTGATATTCTGTTAATATACTGTAAACATATTAACAGTTACAAAAATAGCCAAAATTCTAAGGACAGCCAGTCATGGTCACTATGGCACTTAGTTTTCTTCAAATGTTCATAGTTGTACTTTCACACATGATGTACTCCCTTTCTTTTTCACATCACAGCAAGCAAGGCTTCTCTCAGCATCATCTTTTTCTTTTTCTCATGTGTGTGGTGCTAGGGATGAACGCAGGTCCTTGTGCTTGCCAGGCACTTTACCAATGATCTACACCCTGAGCGGAAACAATCACTTCCTACTTGTCACTTACCATCTCCAACACCATGCTATGGTTCACAATCAACAATTTGGAGTCAATGGAATGTAAGAATCAAACTATTAGGCCGTCTCACGATTCTTATGAAGGCAGCATGAGCCTGGGCTGGTTTAGAGTGCTGTGTATGTCATGGTTGGGGTTCCGGGGGCTGCAAAGCTCAGGGCAGACCAGACACAAAGGTTATTTGAAGCAAATCATCTTATATTTAGTGGCTATATATAGTTTCTGCGACTCAAACTGTTTATTAAGGTACAGGAAACATAATCTTTATTTAATGGAGCCCTGCAGGTTCTCTCAGACACAAATGAACAGGGCAAGAAAGGCCCTCAGTTCCATAAAATGACTTTTAAAATCTTTTCCCTTTTCAGGAGGGGGGCAATCATGTGTACTTTCATCAAGGAAAAGATTCTACTATCCAAAAACACAAAATCGGATGAACTATAAACATCCCCTAAAGATTTGAGATCCCACAAAGTCCTGAGAAACAAATGATAGGTTATCAGACCAAAAAGTGTTTAAATTTTTAGTTACTACCAAAACTAGCAAACTTAAACACCACTGCTATGTAGAATATGAGCGGCAGGCTCCTACAAGTATACAATTTACTGTCCCAAATAATGGTATTTTTATTTTAACATGTATGCGTGCACTATTAGAGCTCACATGGACTAGAGAATTCTATGAAGCATTATCTTTTAACCAAAGAGATTTTTAAAAAGTCACGTATGTTATTGTCATTCCTCCTTAAAAATATCTGCATTACCATTAACCAGGTACAAAAAGGGGAGAAGATGAAAAGAGAAACAAAAGATGAAGAGATAATGTGATAGAGCTGTGCAGCGGGAACAATACTTCCAAACACAGCTGTGAAGATTCCTAGCAGAGGTCACCTGAAAATGGGAGTCCCGAGACGAGGGGAAGGGTCAAATTTGATTTGGTTTTTGCAGTACTGGGAACTGAACCCAACCCAAGCCTTTTGCGTTGACCTATCCCAATCTTTTTTAAATTTTTCATACAGCCTTACCAAGTCCCTAAACTGCCCAAGCTGAGCTCAAACTTGCCATCTCCTACCTCAGCCTCCCACAGTGCTGGGATCACAGGAATGTGCCACCATAACCAGCTTCGCTCTGCATTCTGACAGGCAATGACATGTTCATTTGTTATCCAACAAATAGTTCAATTTTGTAGGCAAAAAGAATAAACAACCCCCTGGGGCTGGAGAGATGGCTCAGTGGTCTAAAGCACCTACTTGGAACAAGCCTGGCAAAGCACAGAGACTGCGGTTCGATCCCCAGCACCACATGCCAGCCAGACCCACCCCCAGGTGGGCTGAGCTGGCCACACACACACACACACACACACACACACTCTAAATAAATGTTAAAAAATAAATAAATAAATGAATAAACAACCCCCTAAAAAAGTGTATTAAATGTAAGAACAAGCATGCACATTTTAAACAAAAGGAAGGGTGAATTTCCTTTGGACAGTGAGAGTAGGGCAGGGGAGTAGGAGGAGCACAACCACTTAGGGTTTAGGGATGAGCCAGAGTTTGCCAGAAAGGAAAGAAAAAGCTATTTCAAGGAAGGGAAGAGCATGAGCAAGCGCACAGAGAAAAGGCAAGTGAAAGTTAGGGGCATCTTTGGGGACTGACTGTGGTGAGTTAGGTGACTGAAAATGAAAGTGAAAATGAGGTCAGGCCAAATCATGAGGTGCTGTCGTCACATGTTGAGGAATTGGACTTTACTACTACAGGCATAGAGGCTTTAGGGCAAAGAGCAGCACCACATAAGCACTATGAAACACTTCTCCTACTATTATAAATTTCTGAGACTATAAATATATTCAATGCTTCCACTGGCTACAGAAACATGAAAACCTTAACTCTAGGACTTCTGAAGTAACTCTAGGGGTTGGGGAGATAGCTTAGTGGAATAAATGCCTGCCTGGCAAGCGCACGGTCCTGAATTTGATCCCTGGTACCACCAAAAAAATAAAATAAAAATGAAGTAACTCTAAAGGTTCCACAGCCTAGAAGCCTTGAGTGCAGTCCAGGAGTTCCCTGAGAAAAGGAGGTATTAACTACGCATTTCTCTTTGGACCTCTAGGGGAACTAGTATGTGACTAAGGAAAATGGGAAAAATAAACGACAGACCTCTGCTTTCTGGCCAGACTGTATCAGCAAGGTGCAAAAAAGGAGAATGAGAGCTGTGTCTGGAAGATGTTAAAATTCAGAAAGACACAGAACAGTTAGGTGCTCTGTCCAAAGGAGTTCAAGCAAGAGCCTAGAGCTCTGAAAAGAGGCCACAGCCAAAGGTAAGAATTGTGAGAGCTCACCAGGGATGAATGGAAGCCAGCTCAGAATGCTGTGATCCCAGAACAAAAATGAGACTAGACAGAAAATGGAAGCGCAGCCTTACGAGCCTAAGAAGCCACATGGTAAAGTTCCAAATCAGAAGGTGGGCTCCTATGGAGACTGCATAAAGACGACACTGGATTTGGTGACTGGGTAGTCCATGGTGAACATTCACTGGTCTTGGGAGTGGGTCAAGGACAGATGAGGTTTAAGATGCACAGAAAATATGGAAGAGACAATAAATCATGTTCCAAAAGTCAAAAGTCAGGCAGTAAAGAGATGGAGTGGGAAGGTATTAGTTTGACAACTTGTGTCTACAGACTCTGAGAAAAAAGTCTGCCTTCAGCATTCTCATAGCACCTACCAGATTACATAAACAATTTAGTGACACTAAATTGTTTACACTACATAGTATAATAATTTATACTCTCACTAAGTTTTAGTTAAATTGCTAGGATACAAGGAGCTCACTATACTGAACCCATCAGGCACTAAATTCAAGTCATTTACTGTTAGAGGTGAAAGAGGCCACGGATCATGTGTAATTTACCAGAGCATTCCTTAGGATGCTGTTACCTTAACTCCTGTTACTGAACTGTACATGCACATACTCACCTCCGTAATAGAGTCCTGTAGCAGTGCACATCCGCCACTGTCCCTGATACATTCCTGCCCTGCTGGGGCTGCACATCTGGACGCTGACATCTGCAATCTCTTGGGGCTCTAGGGATCTCACCATCACCATGTTCACATGTCCAAATTGGTCTCCCCCGACATATTTAAGACAAACCCCTGGAGGCCAGACCTCTGCTCCTGAGTTCAAGCAAAAAAGAGAAAAATGTTAGGCAATCAATGGTCCTATGCTGCGTGTCCTTATCAAACTGTATAAAAGGCCTTTCTTCTTGTCTCTCACACATACGTAAATCTACCTATACCTGCCTGAGTTATATAATGTTTCATATAACATCTTTTTTTTTTTTTTTTTTAAAGCCTTTTTTCCTGCTCTAAGTTTCTTTCTTTTTTTTGGGCAGAACTGGGGATTGAACTCAGGCCCTTGCGCTTGCCAGGTAAGCGCTTATTCCACTGAGCCATCTCCCTGGCCCCCTCATATGACATCAGAAGAAATTATCAGAATCAACAACCTGTGACCAACAGGCTAACCCTATGAAAATGCACAAACAGAAAAGACAAAGCAGTTCTTCAAGAGGTGTGTTTCAGGTGAACTCTGAGAAGTCCACTCATCACACTGACTCTGTAGAACCTGTGTGTGATGTCCAGGAAGTCAGGCCTATACCTCTGGGTGAATGCTTTCTCTACTTAACAGTGATACATATATCCACGTGTTCACTTTCACTTGAACTTTTAAAGCTGACATTCCAAGTACCAGTATGTCCAGCTACTCCCAGATTATCTGCAAGCAAGCCAAAAACATGAGAAGTACAATAATGTCCATTATAGTACTATTATTTTCAAACTGCATTTGGCCTGATGAATGACTACTCTTCTGGGGTCCTTAACTGGGCTCAGGAGATTCTGCCAATATAAGAGAGCTAGCAAATGAAAGTTTAGATCTCATTTTCTTTTTCTTTCTTTCTTTCTTTTTTTTTTTTTTTGTCGGAACCAGGGATTGAACTCAGGCCCTTGCACTTGCCAGAGAAGCTAGATCTCATTTTCAAACAGTGGTGAGATTGAGTTCAATCCCCAGTTTCGCCAAAAAAAACCCAAAACAGTGGTAAGAAAAAAACCCAGCACAGTGACTGTCCCTGTGAACCAACTATAATCCTTCAAGCTGATGCACAGCACCAGCGCTGGTAGGAATGTTGTTCTTCATTTGGAAGTGCCTTTGTTCTTATGGTTTGGATCTAAGTGTCTCAACGTCCAGCAAGGGGGCTTTAGCAAGGTGACCAGATCACAAGTGCACAAACCTCCTTGGACAGAGCATTTCCCATTCATGAATTTGAGGCTGAGGGGGCCTTTAGGAGGTGGGGCCTAGTTCATTAACTCAGGTGAATCACAGGGCACAGTCTTGGTGGCTCTGTCTTGTCTCCAGGCCCTGCCTCCCTGGCTCTTTCCTGCTGTTTCTTGGCTGCCATGAGGTACTGCTTACAGCCCACACCTTTTTGCCATGGTGTTTCAATGTATCACAGGCCTATAAGCAACAGAGCCAAGCGAGCACAGACTAATACCCCTAAAATGGGGCCAAATAAACATTTCCTCCTTTAAATTGTTGTCCTCAGATATTATGTCACCCCAATAAAAAGTCAACACATTTGGTATTACTCTTGTGCCTATTTCCATGTCAACTATGGACATGTAATTCCAAATGAGAAATCAATGTACTGACTGTGCTAACTAATCAAATGTTAGTTAGCACAGGAGCCACACAATGACTAGATGAGATCATTCTTGTGAGCTCACTCCTATATCCAAATCGCATTCTTTTAAAATACAGACTAGGGGCTGGTGAGATGGCTCAGTGGTCTAAAGCACCTACTTAGAACAAGCTTAGCAAAGCACAGGGACCACAGTTCAATCCCCCAGC